AGTGGAACTGCAACTTGTCTAACTCCAAAATGCATGCTCTTAACCTCTGCTATCTATCCTGCCCCTGTGGGGATGTTCATCTGAGTATGTTCTGGAATGATAAAGAATTGCAATCAGTCTATGTATCCAAGAATAGGGGACTGATTAAAAAGTTATAGTACATCTATCTACCCAATACATGGCCAAAAAAGTCATACTCCTACAGAACTTGAATAATATCAGAAAACAGACACTCTGTACTATTACATGAGAAAGCCTGTTAAGCAGTAAATATGCAGCATCATTCCAAATTTGAAAACATTTTTTCCGTTATAGGATATTATACTTAAAAGGTGATAGTGGTATGATAATGGTCAATAAAGATTATCTCTGGTCTGCAAGACTGTTATTTTCTTCTTTCTACTTCTTGTATATCTCCAACTTTCCTACTGTGACCACTTATAACTTTTAATCCAAAAATAAGTTACTTAAATATATACAGGAAGCGATTCATGCAAGCACTGAACAAGCATAAAGCTGATTTATATTTTTAAAATATTAAGCTAAAATTTGGAAAGATTTATCTTTACTTAACATTCAAGGGGAAAGTACACCAGACAGTACATACACAGAAGTTACTCTTTTTCTAGGAATCTGCAAGCTTTCCTGAGTCCTTTTCACTCTTCAAAGACTAATGACCCCTTGCTATCCGGGAGGGGTCAAGGGTAGCTCTTGGTATGACACTAGCATTTGCTATGAGACATTCTGGCAAGCTTTCTTAAGGAATCCCAACCAGTAAAAAGATGTTCTCCAAGCACTGGCTGTCTTCCTCTTCCCACTTAAAGTCCCACAATGTATTAGAAGTACACACAGTAAGCTCAAAGTGATCAAAGAAGTCTTTAATGTTAACCCATACTTTCAATAAAAAAATATACTATTCCACTTTTGAGAGACTCTGACAAATAATCCGAATCTTACACAGTGCCTGGGATGCAATAGGGCATCCAGTGAATACAGATTAAAGGAATAGTGAGGGAAGGGGTTGGTTCACACTTGGCCCAGCTATCGCAGGGAGGGGTTTGGGAGTATAGAAGCCATATTTATATTATACCCTTGGCTAACCCACTCTAGTACCAGTGCCAAGAATTGATGAAGCTGAGAGCCTGTTCACAGAAGGGAGTGGAGGCAGGCCTTGGCCTTAGGTCTGGAGTCTCGCTGGCCAACTGGGTGATTTCTCAAGTCTAAAGCCACACTAACGGGTAGTGAGAATCACAGATACCATTCTCCACTTGTTTGTTTGTTTTTAAATCATCACCTGAAGATACGTTTTTATTGATTTTAGAGAGAGAGGAAGGGAGAGAAAAAGAGAGAGGGAAACATCGATGTGAGAGAGAAACATTGACTGGTTGCTTCCCCTACACACCACAACTAGGAATCAAATTAGCAGCTTAGGGATGTGCCCTGACCAGTAATCGAACCCACAACCTTTTTTGGTGATGCTCCAACCAGCTGAGCCACCTGGCCAGGGCTCCACTTTTTTAAATTTTTATTTCATTTTTCAATTTCTGTTTATATTCAATATTATTTTTGTATTCCACTTTTTATTAGATCTTGCACTGGGTTCATTTCTCAGCTCTGGTTGAACCTCAGTTTGGATTCTAGTCTATCTGCAATGTCCTCCTGGGAGAGGCAGCAGGCCTCATGACTTTCAGCTGCTAGTTATTAGTTTTTCATGACAATTCTCAGATGTCCATGATCATTTTGTCTGTCCCTGGGAAAACGAAGGAAGAAAAAAGGACAGATATCTTGCTGGAGGGCCACAAATAGAAGTGATAAAAACAAGATCTTTTCCCACCACTCTTAGCTTAGCACAACTGAGCTAAGGTGTCTCTCTTTTAGATTAGCAAACCCATCTAAATCTCATATTTCATTAGTGTTGCCCGACAGAAAAATCTGTCATCTTTGAAATATCTCAGCCCCTCCTGCTCCCTTGTATCCAGTTGGTTAAAAAATCATGTTGATTCTCTCTCTCCAATCATTTTGAGCCTGTCTTTTTTCCTGACCTCAGAGCAGCTATTTGGTTCAGCCCTTGATGGGGCATGCTCTGCCTACTATGTTGCAACTGTCTTCTTCCTCCAGGTCTTTCCATGATCAAATACATGCTCCATATTGCTGCCAGTGTTACCCTCTTCAATCAGCATCTGATCTAGTTAACACCTGTGTCAAAAATACTTTTGCTATCACCCACCAGCCATTTCAGGAAAGCACTCCTCCATAATTCTGTTAGTAATCCTGCTCAGTCCACAAGGTCCTGTGGACTAACCCCCTCCCCAGCCTATCCCTCTACCACCCTCACAGAGGTAACTCAGGACCACCAGAAATAGGCACAGGATCCAGGCCATCTGGATCCATCTGCTGCAGGTCATGTGACTCGTCTGAGATTGTGAAATGAATCATGTGACAGACTGGCCCTATACTGATCAAAGTCCGCCCTGGGACCTTCTGCCAAAACTGTCGAAAAAGACACTCCCTTCTCAGTGATGTAAGCTCCAAGGACTGCTGAGACAGGACTATCTGGAACATTCCAATGATGAAAACAGCCAATACCAAGACAAGCAGAGGTCACAGATAATGAAAGCCAGAGAAATGAGTAGGAAGGGCTCCCACAAATGTAAAGATATCATTGGAACCACCAGACCCTACTGCCATATTGGCCTTACCAACTATGTGAGCAAATAAATGCCTTTTATTTTCCCTTTAAACTATTCTGAATTGCCTTCTTGACACTTTTGTGTGTAATAAAGTCCTAACACACACAACTCCACTACTTAAAAACTTTTAACAACATCTTATTTCCTACAGAGAAAAACAAACTCCTTAGCTAAGTATTCAAGTTCTTCAGCAAAAGGGGCCATCTCAGCTTTTCAGCTTTAACATTCCTGTCCCAGCCTGAGTACTTTCAAATATTAAAATAATAAAATCATTACTCTCTGGTATAGCCACCACAGACCCTGATTTCTGCCCCTATGCCATTGCTCATACTTCCTGATTCTGAATTATTCTTCTATTCTCTCCTTCACTACTGAGTCTTCCAGATCCAGCTCATATTAGGCACCAGGATCATATTTTACACCATAGTTTTCATATGGATGCCTATCTCCCTCCTACTGGACACTTTGCAGGCAAGGAATGACTCTTTCTACAGTTTCATCCCTAGCACTTGACCATCTGCTTCCAAGAGCAGAAGCTCCAAAACTGTTTGCAGCACTGCTCACAAATGAAAGACCGAGGACTGATACCTGTTAGACTCTTAATTCTGCCTTACATTAGAATTTTTTGAAAGTTAACATTATCACCATACAACCTAGTAATTGTATTCTTGGGCATTTATCCCACTGAAACAAATTAATGTTCATATAAAAACCTGTATACGAATGTTTTATAGCAGCTTTATTTGACATTTCCCCAGATGGGAAACAACCCAGATGTCCTTCATCAAGTGAATGGTTAAACAAACTGTGGTGTATCTATATAATGGAATACTACTCAGCAATTAAAAAAAAAAAACCTATTGATACAAATCTGAAAGGAATTATGCTGATTGAAAAAAAGCCAATCCCAAAAGATTACGTATTATATGATTCCATTTATATGATTATCGTGAAATGACACCATTTACAGAAACGGAGAGCAGATCAGTGGTTGCCAGGTGTTAAGCATGGGGGTGAGATGAGGGCGAGGCAGATGGGTATTGCCATGAAAGGGCATCACAATGGCTCCTCATGGTGATGGAACTGCTCTGCATCTCAACTGGATCAATATCCTGGTTGTGATACTGCACCACAGCCCCGCAAGATGTTACTATTGGCGGAAAGTGGGTAAAGGCACACAGGGTTTCTCTAAATTATTTCTTACAACTGCATGTGAATCTATAATTATCTCAAAATAAACAGTTAATTTTTAAAAATAAACTAACCATATCCCAAATCTGAACCAAAAAACAGATTCCCAAGGAGTACCTTAAAATAATCATAGTTTCAAGCAAAAGATTTCATTGTGACTAGCAATATAGTAGAGTTTTGCCTACAAGAAGCAAGGAGCTCTCTGGAAAAGAGGTAGAGAGTTGTTCTCGTCAACATGAGAGAGGAGAATTCTTTACGTACGAAAACTATTTTCAGAAACTGGAATGGCAAATGAAATGTCAAATACTAACAAGAGAAGTGCCCCTGCCCAGAACCCTGAGCAGGGCCCCTGAGTGACAGTCCATCTCTCCAGGCGCATGGCTGGGCCTCCATGGGGATGAAAAACAGCCACTGATGGGTGCAATCTGATCTGTTTGCCATTTAGGTCCATGTGACTCATGGAGGCTGGTGCATTCATATCTAAAAATACAGGAAATCTGCAGCCTAGGCAAATTTGGCTCATTGGTTCATGGGTTTTTGATTTGAACATTGCACATTCTGAGATAGTAGCTTTATATTTATATGGGCCAGCTGCAAAAGAGGTTCTGCTGCTCAAACGAGAGACTAGGCTGAAATCTACAAGCAAAGAGAATCAGAACTATCTGCTTATATACATTTTATCTGGGCACCACATGACCCCTTCTCTTTAACAGGGAACATGAGACCAGAGGTCCTTTGTAGACTAGAGGGATATCTTTCCTCAGGCCCTGGGTGTGCCCCACTAAATGCTTGTCTCCAAACAGGACAGAGGGAGTCATGAGCTATTAAAGACAGAGTAGGGTGTGGTGGTCACATGAGCCACCTAGTGCCACTGGGACTGGCAGTGGCCAAGTCTACAAACAGAGAGGGTGTGGTGTCTTGGACCTGCCATTTTTTTTCGTCTATTCCCACTCACTACCCCTTCCAATGATTCCTGCAGCCATGCCAATGGTGAGGGAGGCAGCTTATTTCTGGGAGTTACCTCTTGGAACAACCTGATTCCTTCCCTATGGGCTGTCCATATTCAGGGACCTGGTGACTTTTCAGGGGCCTGTCTGGCAGAGCCAGAGCTGCACTCACCCATCAGGACACTCAGCAACTTCTGCACTCTGGAATTGACCCCCACGATTCGGTAGAGCCCCTGCTCATTAATACCTGAGAAGAGAAACAGTGATGATTTAATTAGAGGTACATCAAAACACAAGTCAAGCCAACCCAGCCAAAAGCACTGTTTTCATTTTCTCGTTCCTTCTAAAAGCCTCTCTAATTAAAGTCCCCTGTCACTCAGCTCTGCTCTTAGCGAAGGAGTGAGATTGGTACAGCTGTCTAGGATTTCACGGGTGTGCTGCACACTTCAGCCCTCATGTTAGTTCAGTCATCAGAGGGGAAAGAAACCTTTCTCTTCTGTTGCCAAAAGCAGCATCTGAAGAGTTTTGAAAGATGCAAAATATATACTTTTAAATAGATCATAAGTTAACCAATTTTTTAATTTAGAAAGCCAAAAATGACATGATAAAAAATTCATACTTCACAATTTATTTTCACAGAGAGAATGAAAATATTGAGCTGTAAGGCAAAGACATTTTTAATTTTGGAGAATGTTTGCCAAGACTGAGAAATTAGAAAACCCATTCTTTTGTAATGTAAATATTCATTATATAATAAAAGAAGGACCACCTTCATTCAACCCAAGGAAATGTGCAACTGAACTAGAAGGGGTTTACCTTCAAACACCCAAACAAAAAACCCCAAACTAACCCACCTCAGTACTTTGTTCACATAAATACAAAGATGAGATCACCACTGTATCATTTACCAAAGGGGACAATTCAGACCAAGTGATGTAAAATGACTTTTCTCCTGTTAGTCCTAGGCCCATCATATTTGATACCTTTCTCCCACTTCCTGTTTTATCCCGAGGTCCATTTTCAACCACTAGCCAAAGAGAACTTCTCAAAACGTAAATCAGTTCAAACCATGTCTTTTCTTATAAACCTTCCAGTAGCTTCCCATTGCATTTAGATCACAATCAAACCTTACTGTGCCTACAAGGTCCTACATGATTGAGCTCAGGCCTATCCCTGACCCTAGCATCAACCATTCCACTCCGCTCCAGCCACACCAGCCTTCCTGTTACTCCAGCAAATCAAGCTCAGGCCCCCAGTCAAAGCCTTTTCTCCACCTGCAACCCTCCTTTCCTAGATTTTTCCATCATTCAGGTCTCAGCTTAAACACAACCTCTTTAATGCATCCCATACCAACACTATTGGCCAGGAACTGGCCCTGTTTTTTTTTTTTCTTTATAGCAGTTAATATCTAAAATTATCTTTATTGGGTTTTTTGTATATCTTTCTCCCCCCACCTACAATGTAAACTCATAGTACAGTGATTCTGTCTTCCTCACCATTGTATCCCCAGCACCCAGATCAGTATATGATACGTGACAGAATAGAATGAATAATATAGTGAATTATACTCTGATAGAGCCACTACTTTGGAGTCAAAACAAAATTTCCTGAAAGAAATGTGGGAAAATGCTGATTCTACAACACCTATCTAGAAATGGAATTCATGAATAAAAGCAAGTGGTCTGGAATGAGGGGCCTCCACAGCTAAAACAGATCTATAAAAGCATGGCATGATCCCGCATGGTTCATGGCTAGGAGACGCTGGTCAAAAACTAAGGAATGGGCCCCAGGTTACTCAGTAGCAGAACCATTATTCAGTGATGGGGTGGCTTGAAGGGCTTCTCCTTTCTGAAGTGTTATCTCTTTCTTTTGTCCTTGTGCTTTCCTGGAATTTGACACAATCCCGACTCCCATTGGGCAATGATTAATGAACCCCAGAGAGCATGGGAGGTCTGGTCATCCCTGGTCACCACAAATATGTATGTACATACATGCACTGCAGTAAGGAAATAGCCACTTCCTTCATGCATTTATATAAAAATGGCTTTTAACTCACTGTCTTTATGTCCTCTTGGAGCTAAATGAAAACTTTCTCAGAAGTTAAAACATCATTTTCGGAAGCAAAAGCTAAGAGACCAATCCAGTTGGTGACCCTCCTCTTCCTCACCACTTATCCTGTATATTTTCTGACTTCACATCAGAAAGAGTCATCCTCCTGAGCTATGGGTATGCATTTATCACACTCTCTGTGAAGGGTTTTAAATGATTAGGTCTCTCTCTTTGTTCTGGCTGCTGAAAACTAAGCAGCAGACAGGTGGCCCACCGCAGGCAAGTATATGAAGGTGCCTGGGGAGCAGAGAGGAGGGGGGTTCTGTTTTGAACTCACTTTTGGCTCCATATTTATGCCTCTACTTTTATTAACCCTGGAGCTCTTATATTTGATTCTTTTATTTTTAACCATCTGTATGCCATAAGTGTCTACAGACGTAAGTGGCGGACCTTTATAAATTAAATTCAAAATATTGTGGCAATTAACTGGTTAAATAAAAAGATTTCAAAATGCCTGTTGAAAAATTGTCTTAGTTATACCTACTTTTAAAAACTTAGAAACTGCAGTTGTGGAAAACAGATAAATCAAAAGAAGAAGGCAAAAACAGCAGAGAGACTCACTGACAACAAAAAGATAGCTGGGTAGGCATGACTCTCCCCTCGCCCCGCCACCCCCAGAATGGGTTCATGCTTGGCAGGCTGTTTTAGAACCTGCACTTTTCACTTACTACATATAACCAAAACCTTGGGTGTCAATAAATATATTTCCACTGCATTTTTAGTGATCCAGAGTTTTTTACTGCATGAAAGTAGCACTGTTGATTTAACCAAATTTTGAGACATTTGGCCAGTTTCTGATTTTTAACCTTAACACCTTTCTGTAAACATTCTTATAACTGAACCTGGCCCATGTCCTTATTTCCTCAAGATCCACTCCCAAAATGTCACTTTATATTCTCTGGTTATATATTACACTAGAGGCCCAGTGCACACAATTCGTGCACGGGGGCGGGGGTGTCCGGCAGCCCAGCCTGCACCCTCTCCAATCTGGGACCCCTCGGGGGTCCCTCTCACAATCAGGACTGCTGGCTCCCAACCGCTTGCCTGCCTGCCTGCCTGATTGTCCCTAACCACTTCTGCCTGCCAGCCTGATCAGCCCCTAACCATTACCTTGCCGGCCTGATCGACGCCTAACTGCTCCCCTACAGGCCCTATCGCCCCTAACTGCCCTCCCTGAAGGCCTGGTTGCCCCCAAAATGCCCTCCCCTGCAGGCCTGGTACCCCCCAACTGCCCTCCCCTGCAGGCCATCTTGTGGCGGCCATCTTGTGACCACATGGGGGCAGCCATTTTGTGTGAGGGTGTGGCAGTCAATTTGCATAATACCTCTTTATTATATAGGATTATCCTTGCAAACTGCCTTAATTCTTTATTGAAGAAAGGTATAGTAGAAATAAGCAAACATTTTAAAATGTTAGTACATCCTATCTAATAAAAGAGAAACATGGTAATTAGCCGTACCTCTGCTACCCTTCCCATTGGCTAATCAGGGAGATATGCAAATTAACTGCCAACCAAGATGGCGGCCGGCAGCCAGGCAGCTTGAAGCAAACAGGGAGGCTTGCTTGCTTCAGTGACAGAGGAAGCCAAGCTTCCCCGCCTGCCTTGCCGGCCT